GCTTATAATTTACTATTGAAAACCATTTGTTTACACGATACTCAAATTTAACGCAAAAGAAAATAAAAGGAAAAAAAAATTGCTCGAAAAAATATTGAAATTAGAGAAATATTATTTCGTGATAAAATGCAAATACTGTCACGGATGTTTCGGAAAATTTAATAGAAAAATTCGAGCGATTAAAATTAATATAATTTTAGGTAACAAGATATATGGTGGATTGTATGATAAAAACGGGTACATCAAAAGATCATGCTCAACAATTAGCCGATGTTTTAGTAGCCGCTGATATACGAGGACATTACAGTCATGGATTAAATCGATTAGGTTTATAAAAAAAATACATATCTTTTATATTTGTCTATGCTATCAAATTTAAAAAAATCACGGAAGTAAAGTTTTATTAAAGGTTACCTAATTCTTTCGAAATGCAAAATCTTAATAAATTGAACTGAGCTTGTTTTAGTGGAAATTTTTGAAAAATTGTTATGTTTAAATTAGGAAAAATTTCAGCTAATCGTAAAATCTCACCTCTTAGATATAGGGAGAATAATAGAGGATGACTCGTATCTTTTACTTCAATTTAATTTTCTATCTTTCTTTACTTTAAAATGAGACAATATGAACTGAAAAATAAAAATTTCGGGAAGATGAAAAAGAATATTAAACTAAGATGTACAATTTACTTTTAGCAAGAAACAAATAAAATACTTTTAGATATGTATGTTCGAGATATACAAAAAGGTGTATGCATGAAAGATGGCATTCCGAAAATCTTGAAAGAGCATGCCGCAACTGCGTGGGTTGATGGAAATAATTTACTTGGCCCAGTGGTCGGAAATTTTTGCATGGATATAGCAATTAAAAAAGCCAAACAAGCAGGTGTTGGTTGGGTTGTTGCTAAAGGTAGGCTAATATGGTAATTTGAATTTCTTAATTTCTTGTATTTCATTTTAAATTTCCTCGATATTTAATATAACATTAAGTTGTTGATGATACGAGTTTTTATAAAAGTTAGTTTTTTTCCTAAATATCTATAGTAAAATCTATTGAATTTTTTAAATCATTTGCAACTAATCCAATTTCTTTTGAATCGGAATACTTAAAAATAATTATGGATTTTTGGAAGAAATGTGTTTGCTTTCTGCTCTGTCATTTGTGGCATAATTCATCGATGAGAACTAAAATCACAAATTAAATATTGTTATTATAAATTAAATTTGTTAGAAATTGAAGGAGGTGAATTTTTACTAAAAAGCATCATAATCCTAAATTGTTTCTGAGAAAATTTTATTATAAATAAAATTTAGCAGTTTAATGAGGCCTAGTTTTGAATGTAATTTATTCCTGTGATTTTTTGCGGAATTTATAAACTTAGGAGAAATTCATACATTTACTCTAACAATTACGTAATCACTTTTATATTTTTTAAATTTCTGAAAATTTTTGCTACTGTTTCATCATCGAATTATTTGCTTTGAAAAAAATTAGACATTAAATTTAAAATAAAATAAATGTGTAAAATACATTGAAATCTTCATTAAATGTTTTTTCTTCGTTAATTTTTAATTAGGAAAAACCGATTTCTCAAAATTATTAAATTATTACTTGGAACCCTAAATTTTTTGCAAATATTCAATCAATTTTAAATCAAATGATTTATTTTAATTGCATTTTCATATTTTGTTCAACAGTAATAATTGAAAAAAGAGCAGATTATATTCTATTTAATTTCACGCTTCTTTTTTCTCTTTTATTTAAATTCAAAAATGATGACTTTAATTATCTGCGATGACTTTAATTATCTAATTATTTATTTCATCACATATTTTAAAATATTAAAGGATCAAATCATTTCGGAATTGCCGGATGGTACAGCATACGTGCGATGAAAGAAGGACTTTTGGTAATTGGAACATTTTTAGTACTTAATTTTCCTTTATCTCCCTGATTACCTCAATTTTTCCTATTATTAGCAAACGCGATAAGAAAAAAAAATTGTAAAAATTTAAGTTACCAAAAGAATTAACTTGTTATCAAAAATCTTTTACCATAATTTTATGATTAAACGAATTAATTAAAATGGATTCCTAAATATATTTAAGGGAATGGCATTTACAAATACCTCACCGATTATGTATCCGACAAGATCGAGTACAGCAGCACTTGGAACCAATCCTTTAACACTTGCTGCTAAGGCTAAAAATGATACTTTCATACTTGATATGGCTACTACTACTGCTGCTATTGGAAAGGTTTCGTACTCATTATTATTATCACTATCAATAATATTATTACCGCTCTTATTATCACTATCAACACTTTTTATCATTATTAATATCATTATCATCAAATTATTAGCATTATTGCTTTAGATTGTTATCACCATAATATTATTATTATCAATTATTAGCACTATTACCATAATCGTTACGTTTATCATTCATCATGTTCATTACATCTGAAGAAGCGAAAACTTAGCAGTAAGTTATCCTATTGGATATAGTGAATAAATTTTTTGGAACAATTTCAGGTTGAGCTAGCAGCCCGAAAAGAACAAACTGTTCCGGATACATGGGGTGTTAAGAAAGATGGTTGCGTTAGCAATGATCCAACAGAAATATTAAGTGGTGGTGGCCTTTTACCTCTTGGTGGAACTGAATTAACTGGTAAGTTATTCAAACAGAAGCACTGAATTTGTTAATAAATTATTCATTCATTAAAAATAGGTGTATTCAATTGTTAATTTATATTTAAGCATTAATCATTGATTCATAGCCAAATTACGGCATATTATACAAAAATATTGTACAAATAAAAAAAATTATACAAATTCTTTTTTTAATTTTTTTTTAAATTAAATTAAATTATCGTATAATTACTGTTTTGCAAAAATGCAGCAATCATTAAATTTATAGTTAATTTACAAATTATAATACAAAGCAAAGGAATATTTGACGATGACTTATCAATTTTTTTTTTTTTGTTTTCAATTTATGAGCAAAAACTATTCGACCGTTAGAAATACATTTCAAAAAAGAAGAAATGAATAAATAATTCCAGGAGGCTATAAAGGATACGGTCTTGGTGCTTTAGTGGAAATCGTTTGTGGCATACTCGGTGGTGCACAATGGGGACCACATGTACGACAATGGATGTCAACAGCAGTTGTTGCTAATTTAGTATGGAATTTTATTTTGAAAAAATAAACTTGTTGGAATTAATTTAGAAATTACAAATATTGCTAGCGATTAAGAAATCGCTTTTCTTCAGGGACAATGTTTTATTGCTGTTAATCTGGACGGATTTGCACCAGATTTTGAAAATCGTTTACAAGAGTTTATTGATTCAATGCGAGGACTAAAACCGGTTTACTTTAATGTGCAATTGAAATTTATTTTGCTAGAAATTTAATTCTATTTTCTTATAAATTTAATTTAATAATATTAGAAAAAAATCTTTTATCAAATTTTGTATATTTGAAAGTATTACATGAATTTACAAAATTATTTTTCGAAAAGAAAGGAAATTGCTTTAAACGCTTATCAAAGCTTAGAAAAACTTTCATTTAAAAAAAAAAAAAAAAAAACTATTGCTTTTTCCATTATAACAATAGTTTTTTCTAATTAACAGGAAAATTAATCTTTGATCAATTTTCCTCATTATTTGTTATTTGTTGAAAAAGGAAAAAAAAGTCATAGAATGCCTTACAGGTTGATAATAAACGCGTATTAGTAGCTGGCGATCCAGAGAAAGAACATACAGCATTGGTGGAAAAATACGGTGGTATACCGTATCATCCAAATCAAGTTACTCATGCGGTATTTCTTATTGTATCGAATTTTTGCATAAATGACACGTCGATATTAGTTGAAGCAATATTTGGCAATTTCTTTAAATTCGTCATATCATTTCATAACCACTATTTCAGGAAGAATTAGCAAAGACATTGGGTGTACAAGCAATGACCGTAAAAAGTACTGTATGATTTCAATAACATGCCAATAAAAAACGGTCTGCTGCATTCACTTGTTATGTCTTTTGTACGATATTTTTCGTTTTACAATTTTTAGTAATTTTTCAAATTTTTAATTTGAAAAGGTAAAATTTGAAGTTACGGGTGAAAAAGTGAATGCTAAAATATAGAAAAAGCGCAAAAGACGGATTAATGTGGTGCTTTTTCTTTATTTATTTTTATTTTTTTTTTTCAAAATATTCTTATTACATTTCATTGTTCGTTCTTTTCAAAATACCTCAATTTTTTAAAATTTTGATGCACTGTATTAACGTTTAACATGTCAAATAAAATGAATACATTATGTTAAATATTATTAGTTTACTGATGATTGTTTCTGCGATCAATATGAATTTTGTAACGCAAAAAATGATGAAATTCCTTATTGAAACAATCTTAATCATAAATTCTTTCTTAACATTTTAGCGTATTCAACTTTTTGTAACTCGACTTATGCAAATTTTTATTAGCTTGTCATTTTTTCTTGCTGCTGATTTTCTGCGCTCTATGTTGTAAATTTTTGAAATGTTAAGTAATGCGTTAAGTGAATTTTATATTAATCATAGATCATTCTTTATTTTTCAATTAATACTTCGTAACACCAATGAACGACCGATCGATCATGCTACATAAGATGGCAAGAAATCATTCAAGCTTAATTATAATGCATTTTGGTGAAATTCTTTCATTTATCGGTTTTTAACTTTCATGAAATTTAAAAATAAATTTTGATGTAAGTTTAGCTTGCGTATTCAATTTGCAGGAAGCGCTTGTCAAAAATAGATAATCGCAGCAATCAATAATTTTGTCGATGCGAAATTAAGTTGTGAAATTTAACTAAACATTTAATATGTGATTAAAAGACGCAAAAAGAAAGAAAAAATATCAATACTCTATTTTTGACCACTTTAAAAGCTGAAAATTATTTTATTTGATGATTGCTTTTGATAATTAAAATGAAATTGATCAATAATAAATAAGTGAATTATAAGGATTTTTCGATAATTATTTGCACGGTATGAATGTGAGAATATTTAAATAGCGTTGAACACAATGCAAAATAAAACTGCCATTTACGATGAAATCTTCGAGAATATCCAAGTTTCAGAATTTCTTCTTCATTTTCGATCCATGCGCTGAAATTTTGTTTCACTTTAAGCATAATTCAAAGGAATTCCAATAATTCCACAACCATACTGACAATTAAATAATTGTTCATATTTCGATAAATCAAATGTCCAATTAACATATTCCAAATTCATTTTATAAACAAAACTAGGATTGCTTGTAAAATATTAGAGAATTTTCAAAATTCGTAACTTCTTAATTTTTCAATTTCTAAATCTTACAAAGCTTGCCAACTGATTGATTTCATCAAATATCCTTTCCAAAATTTCTCTTAATTCTCAATTTTTGCTCAATTTCAAATTTGCAGATAATTTTTCTGAAATATATAACTTACCAATACCATAAATCTAAAGTTGGCGCATAATGCTGCCCAATATGGGTTGTTTTTGTAATTGATAATTCAGGCGGTAATGCTTCTCTAATCGCTCGCTCAGATGGCATATGTCCACCGGGAAATATATATTTCTTGATAAAATCACTTGATCGACAATATCGTTCATAGTTTATTTCAGGACATATTATTGCCTGTGAGTTGAAAAAAATTTAATCTTTACTGTTTAATTTATTTCAAAAAACAACAAATGATAAATGATACCTGTAAATATGCCTTACCACCAGGACGCAATCGAGCACTCAAAATTTCAAAAAACTGTGGTAAGTATTCATGTCCAACTGCTTCAATCATTTCAATCGCAATAATTTTATCATAAATATCATTTTCCAATCTATAAAAGAAGTGAATGAGTAATTTTCGTTAAGTTCTAAAATTTCGCTTGCAATAATTCATTTAGTTAATAGTGGAAAGAAAATAGTAAGTATGACAATTCCATTATGCTTCATTTGCATACTCATTTAATCACATATCCAAATTGTTTATTTATTTTTGCATTTCATTAAACAGCTTTTCTATTCAAAGAATTAATAAAATTTAGAAAGATAATTTGAAAGTCTTTCACGGTGTTAATTTTGATCAACCATAAAAATGCAAAATTTTTTAAAATACATAGTTTTATTTATTTGACTACAAATATAATTAAATTAACTTTGCCAAATTATTGTTGTGATCTAATAAATTTGATTAAAGAACAAAAAATTTCATAAAGTGCAAAAAATTAATCAAGTATTAATTTGAATTTAAAATCAAAAATGAATTAACTAACCGATAATCTAGTAATTTGATGTTAACTTTATCCTGTAATTCATTATCGTTTACCATTTGCTGTGCAATTTTAAATTGCTCCGTGGAAATTGTCAAGCCTGTCCATTTGCATCCGAAATATTTGACAGCACGTATAGCACAAGCACCCCAACCACAACCAATTTCTAATATTCGATCATCAGATGTAACATTTATTTCGCGAAATATTTGATCATATTTTCTCATTTGAGCTTCTTCAAGCAGTTTACTATCAGAATGTGTGATCGTATAAGGTGGAATTGCTGAAATGAAATATATTATTATAAATGAAATAATTGAGCAATATTTAAAAAAAAATAAATAATTAAAATTAAAACCAAAATAAAATTCAAACATCTTTTGGTTTCTCAAGTATCATCGTTACAAATCTTTTGATTTTGCAATTTATATACCACATAGTTAAATTTCAAAAACTCTAAAATTTAGGCAAAAATCATATATATATATATATATATATATATATATTTGCAAACTTTGTTTTTTTTCAAAAAACTTTTAATAGGTCATTTATTATTAATAAGTATGCAATTGTCTTTTTTTTTTGCATTTACGAAGTAATTTGTTAAAGGAATAAAAGCTAACTTTGAAAGATTGCACACGAATAAGTCATCGATGGATCAAGGAATAAGCTAAACATATCGTTTCCAAGATCATAATGATCACGAATGTTTTTTGCGCTACCGTTTAATGAATTTGCATGATAGTAATGTTGCATTAGATTAATAAATGATATTACTGATCGAATTAATCGAACAGTTAAATAAATCAGTAAATTGAACAGCTTTTTCAACCAGCCATTATTTTGTCTCAATTTTTTTGCTGAATTACTATAACCTAAAAAATGTTACTAACATTCATACACATACTTATAATTAATTATCAAAATTTAAAAAAAGCTCGAAATTATTTGTATTCTTCAATTTATTTAAAATTCATATCACAGCAAAGCTCATTTATTTTAAAAAATAAAAAGAAAGAAAGGAAAATACTTAACTAAGCTAATATCATATTGACTGGCTTTATTAAATCAAATTTTTAGAAATAATCTTTTTTTAAGCTATGATTTACTATAACTAATATAATTGAAAAAGATAAAGAAGCTAATTGTTCATAGATTTAAAAAATATTCGATTTTATATATACATACGAGTAATATGAGTAAACTAACGTTTTGCACGAATAAGTAATGTCAAGAAATCCTGTATTCTTGATTGTACACTCCAATCCTCAAACATATATGCTTCTCCAAGGCCAATTTTTGGATCCAAAAGAATTCGGAAGCAAAAATTGATTGGTTTATAAATGAATAATGTAACTGGTAATATGTCATCGGATTTGTTTGATCTAAAAAACAATCATCGGTTTGTTTTGCACTGTCATTTTTATCAATAATTTTTTTTTCACTTCATCTTTATTTCATTTTGTTACATTTGACCACTTAAATGTAGGAAGGAAGAATTTAAATTAAGTGATTATTTAAATAAGTTTTCTATAAAATACAATTTCAAAAAATACTATATGTTTGTCTGACTTTTCTAACTGTTAATTTTTCGATTGTTCAATTATAAGTAATCTTAATTAATATTTTTCTTAACAATAAATTGGATAAGAAATAATTTATTTACTGAAGGAAAAGAAATGTTGAAAGGGCAAAATAAAAAAAGATAAAAAGATTGTTTTTTTTTTTTTTAAATTTTAAAACAAACCGAATTGCTGATTCATCGCTATTACCAAAGTGCAATTTACAATTTGCGTCAGGTAAAAATACTGATAATGATTCCGGTGCGTTTCTTATAATTCCATTAAAATAACTAAAAATTAATACTTAAAAAATGGATAAAATTTGATAAAGTAATGATAAATAAAGCTATTATAACCTAACAAATATTTATATTCGGTCTAACGTTTACGTAGAACTTTCCCCAGTAAATTTTGACTACACACTAACAAGATTCATCAATAATAATTATCAACCTTGATCGCCGAAACCTATTCCAATAAATGATCAAGCGTCATTTCAACAACAACACCAATCTTCAACGAACATTAATTATCCAACCGTTTTATTAATGGGATGAAGATAATGCGTAAAATAATCTGATACAAATCAAAACCAAAATAATATTCCTGCTTTGAAACCATCCGAAACAAAACGAAAAACGATAGTTTAAATCTGAAAATAGAGAGATAAGTGCAAAAAAAAAAATGCAAGACGATAATTTTTAAAATATATTGTCAATTTTTTGTTATAAAATAATATTGTCATTGTGATTTTTATTTTTTACTGATAATAATATTTTAAACAATAAATATTTTTTAATGATATTTCAAACAAAAAATATTTTTTAATAATATTTCAAGTAACAAATTTTTTTGGGGAATAAAATTTTTGAGAAAAATATTCGATACAAAACTAAAATAGAACAAATGGAAACGATAACGGTTTGGTGTATGTGTGAATGTGTTTAAGATTCGTTATTCGATTTGTTTGATATGGGATGATGACCTATTAAAATGCTCTAAAACTGTGGAAAAAGATGAAAAAGTCAAATTTGAAAGTGATTGAACTTTTGTAACCATCACAGAGTACTATTTATGATTTGATAGAAGATAGAAAGTGGCAAAGATGCCATGACATGATATGATATGATAACATTTGTGGAATTTTCAAATAATCCAAATGCATTTTAGATGGAAAATGAACTCTTATCCGATTAATAATAGCAGTAAATGATGATTGCATTAAATGATTGCTGCACAAGGAAAACAGAGATAAATCTGGATTAATTAAAACAATAATTTTCAATTATTGAAAAAATGTTTGTGCTCAATAATGATGAAATCATCGCTTTAGTTTTTCGAAATTTTAACCATGGAAAAATTTTTACTAATTATCTGATTGATTAAAATGGAATTGTGTTACTACCGAAAACTTTAACAATAGGAAATTTGAATTGTTGCGATTTTATTTTTTTAATTTTTATCTCTAAAACTACACATATTGCATAACAAATTTCTATTTTTATTATCACACTGCTTTTATCACTGTAGTGATAACAACATTCACATTATTGTATTATTTCTACAGCAAAATTATATTACATTATAATTATCTCGTGATTCGTTTCATTGTGCCATATTCATAAAAACAGTATTTTGCATTGCAGGATTGTAATGATATTCGCATTAATGCTACATCTTTATAGTAATTCTGTAATATTGTAAGTACAGTAATGATATTCATATTCGTTTCTCTCTTTCATTTCTGTAACAGTATTATATTATTACATAAGTACAATAGTAACATTAATATCAGTATTAATCTCATTATCGCGATTACGTATTACAATTACCATAACAGTATTTATATGTTTTCCGGAATGCAACTTCATTAAAGCTATAAATTTTCCGATATATTAGAATAGCAAAATTTTGCTGCTTTCTTTCGGAATAAAAATTTAAGCTAAAAAATTTTGTTTGACAAACTTTGATTATCGAAAATTTTTAGATAATTTTTCCAATTTAATTGCAGTTTGGATGAATATTCCAAAATATTGAAATTTCTTTTCCATTTTGAATGCACGCCAGCAAGTAAAAACAGGATGATGAGATGGAAATGATAAAAAATTACTACTTCATAAAATGGCGAACTTTTTTAATTGTGATTATTTTTATGTTAGTCATATTTCTAATTTAAAAATGCACTGTGATAAAAACTAAGTGTTTTATTTTTTATTATTTGTATCAAAATTCAAATGATATTTAGTTTGATTTTTAGAAGAACAAAAATGACTTAAAATATGATTAAAGACAGCAGCAAAGCACAAGAAAACTTATCTGCCTTTTATAGCTTGAATGATTAATCACATTGTCATAATTTTAAAGCCATTATAATCAGGTAGTCGTTAAAAGGTGATAGGAATAGTTAAATAATCAAATTTCTAACAATTTTTTAAAAATTATATAAGAATGAAAAAAAAAATTACAGATGGATCAAATTTTAGATGAATAAATAAATGTGATTAAAATCTGTTGCAAAAAATTAATATAATGCTCACTTAATTTGCTGTTATCGAAATGATTGGATGTGTTGTATTATGCGTGGAATGGAAGAACAATGAAGTGATTTGATTTGAATTTGAAATGATTTAAATCAAAATGTATCACTCATAACTGGTTTGAACATTTTGTTGTTCACCACTATCATTATCTCGGATAATTAAACTGCTACAATCATCTAAAATATTTCCACTGCAATACTGGTTTTTAGGTATTTCATCCTATTTTAGTCTTTAAATCTATTTAGAATTAATTGCGTCGAGATAGATTTTGTTTAGTAAGAATACTAACATTTCAACAGTAAATGTTTCAATATGTGCTCATGCACTTAAATATTATTATATACGATTAAACAAAAATATATTTTTGAGAAATTTTTTTTAGTGAAAAACGGTAAAATAGTAAGCGAAAATTGAAACAACGGTAAAAGAAATTTTTTTTTTTTTTCAACTTAACAAAATCAGTATTTCTGCAATAATTTAATGGCACTTGAAATTTTATTAACATCGTACAATAAACACTATCATCATAGACAGAAGTTATTTTAATAACGTGGAAAATGAAAACGTTTAATTAATTTAATTTAAATAGTAAATTTCGAATAATTTCCTAAATTTTACTGAAAGGATAAAATGCTGGTAACAATATAATCCAAGTCTGTTATTACTAATCATTAGAAAGAAAGGGTAAAATGGCGAAAATTATTCAGCAATTTCTTACATTCATAAATAAGGCAAATATGCTTTATCAATTTATTTGTTCGAAAAAATTTTTATTAATTGTATGGAAATATTGGATTTTGAAATTAACATTGATGATCATTGAAAATCTTGCAACTGTACTTTTTTGTCCATGTGCATAAAAATAATTCATTGTTTCTTTTAATTTATTAAGTTGAAATTCTAGAATTAGATTTTTTTTTTCTGTTCAAAGCAACATAGAAATCTTTTAGTGCTCGATGTGTTTTAGCAAATTTATTTTAATGAATTTGAAATTTTGCTTTTTCGTTTTTTAAAATTATCTTCACATTGTTTATTGCCAAATAATATTTTTCTGTACATGTATTTATGCTCACAAATGATAATTTCATGATAAGTTTATTGGTTTTCAATCATGTTAATTAATACATTTATCACTACAGTAGTGCGATTGAAATTATCACATATGTTTGAACATATTATATTCCATAAACTATATCATTTGTTGATAAAAATGATATAATTTAGTAATTAAAAAAAGGATCTTCCGAGAAATACTATTCATGAAACTTTGTCAAAAACCAAGATCCATTAAATTTGCTAAACCTACTTATTTTGGGTTGTAATACTATTTGGTGTTGTAAACTATCATCTTGTTATCGTGGTTCAATCTTTAAATAGTTACTTATGTTATATTTTTGACTTACTTAATAAATATATTTAATATTTTAATATCAAATATTTAGTAACCCACATGCATAATATATTCATACTTTAAAAAAAATAGGTTCTTTAAAAATAAAATAGATATTTTAAAAAAAAGTGTTTAAAATAAAATTTTTAAAAAATCCAATACTTTTGCTTAAATTTTACTTTTCCTTCATCTTAGCTCGCATTTTATAATTGTCTATTTTTCCAATTTTATCCAAATCTGATGGCAGTTTAAACTGTTGTATTTCGTGATAGTAATAGTTGTTGCGATGCCATTTTTTTTTCTGCTATTCAATTATTAATTTTGAAAAACTTAATACATTCTTTGAAAATTTTGAAGACGATCAATACATTCTTTATCATTGTTAGCGTTCTTGTTATGATTATCATTCAGCAGTCGATGGACATTGTAAATGTTCCGGATGAACATGGCTGATAATTCCTGTTTTGTTAACATTTTCCATATTCCTTCCGTCTTTATTCCGTGTCCATTTCTCATTCTAAAAGAGAAAACAAGTTATCTTTTAGTGATACGCACGTATACACCGTTTATTCACTTTGATAAATTAACGATAACGTGATCATACTTAATTTAATGTATTGCTGAAAAAATAAAATTAATAAGAATGATATACCTCCGTTGGAAAATGTTGCAAAATGTTATTGAACTGTTCGGGTTCATCTGAGTTTGTTCCAATTAAACTTTCGTTCATTGGTACAGTTAAAATCAAATTACTGGAAATTCTTGATTTGATCATTTTTGATTTATGTTGAAAGTGTGTAAAATAAAAATAGAGAGCACTATTATAATCATTAACTGATTTTAACTTACTCATTAAATTTCCTCTTTCATAATAAATAGGATAATTAAAAAGCGACAAGTGAATGGCATTAAATTCCAAAAAAAAAAAAAAATATCAGTCATACTTTAATTTCATTTCATCCGTTTGTTGCTTCGTGTCTCTTTCACTCTTCTCGACTTTCAGTACTTCCGATTTGTCATTTCTTTCCTCTGATATGCATTCTGTCTTTTCTTGCTTTCTTGTTTCTTTACCTTTTTGTAAAGCGCGCAATTGTTCTTCATAAAATCTATGAATTAATAAAAATTTTACTATTTCCAAAACAAGCTGATTTGCAATTCACATTTAATCTAACAATCAATGAATAATAGAAGTTTTAAAATTTTTACGGGATTTTAACCATCAATTATACCAATAGTGCAGGATATGTATGAAAAGATATTCCCGCATTCTTATTTCCTTTCCCGTTCCCGATGATGCGATGCAATTCTTATTGATTATTCTCGGAAGGGGCGCAAACATTGTCTCAAGAATCATCAGTTTCAAATCATTTATCCTATCATCAACTGATAAACATGAAAGAAATTTAAGAACTCATATAAAGAAAATATGCGTTATATGGAGGGAGAAATTTGCATAAATGACATATGTATGTACGAAGAATTTAATAATAGAAAAGAATTTAGCAAAAAAAAACCTTCCACCCTTTTCCCAATCGTACGGATCGTCCGGCAAATAATGCTTTCGCTTACAAATTTCACGTAATTTACGCATAATTAATGCATAATCTGGTCGATCAGAATAATTTAAATATCGGATATGATCAAAAATAGCGTAAAATTCACGCGGACAATTTTTCAGTAAATGATCTTCATTTTGTATCTGAAAAACTATTGTTACATTACAAAAGGAAACAAGAAAATAAGCAAGAAAAATAGTAAATCACAAGTTCGTGATAACATTTTATTTATATTTCATTCAAAATATTTCTAGCCAATTCTATTAAAAAATTTTGAATTTTGAATAATG